TGGCACTACCGGATTTTCGCGGACTTTTTTTTCAGCGGTTGCATTGTTGATCCCGATTTAAAATGGCAGCAAGTTCGAAAATCCTTGAATCAAAAGTATCTTTGTTCGAGACAATTAAAAGTGATATATCTCCAGAAAGCTTGCCATCCCTTGACAAGGAAAGTTTGAAGAATTATTGCAAGAAACTAGGCTTAAAGGTTACTGGCGAAAAGAAAGAACTAGCCGAGCGACTAGCTCCTTTAGGCCGGGAATCTGAACTTTTCGAGAAAAAAGTACGTCGCATAAATCAAACTWTTAAATTCTCTACCTCACTTGAAGACGCGGAAGTTCCTCCAGCTTCTTCAAATTGGAAAATAATAGGGAAAAACGAAGATCTGAACGTACCTGTGGTTAACAAAAACACTATAAGAGACTATCAAAAAGCCAAATATGCAGGTGGAAGAGGCCAGTACAGAAAAGCACATCTTCTATTTACATCCAGGCGAATAATGTCTGTCAAAATCGATCAAGAAAGCAGCCCTAAATGTTCTTTTGTAAAAGCAAATGTCCTGAAATCTTACACTGGTAGCATTTCCCGACCTGTGACGATAATGTTTGTCGGCAATATGCCAGTAAAAGGTTTTTGCCCATGTGCAGTTGGAAAAAGTGGAGCTTGTTGTCATGCAATCACCTTGTTGATACAATTGAATTATTTTAGGGAACATAAAAATTTGTTTCTTCATATGAGTTGTATGGAGAAATTACAAAAGTGGCACCTAAAAGGAGCTGCAAGTTCTAAAACAGTAAAGTTAGCATCACAGATCAAGCTAAAGTATTTTAGAAACCTCAGGGGAGCAAGACAAGATATAAAAGGAAAAAGAAAGAAGAAAAAGGTTGTATTGGAAAACAGGGAAAAARTGACTACAGTGATTGGTACAGACGTGATGTTGTTGAAATGGAAAGACAAATCAAGGAAAACATTGCTAAAAAGAAATCAGTTGAAAATCATWTTTATACAGTTTTGTCCAAGTACAAAAAGAATTCTGGCTTGTTTTTACATTTAAGGTATAAAACAGAGTATGAAAAAAGGGAGAAAGGACTAGATCATGACAAAGAAATCTTAAAACCAAGATTCCAGGAAGGCACCGAGTYGATTTGGAGGCCACAAATATCAGCAGAGTCAAGTGCTAACAATTCTAGTAGCAGCTCATCTGACCAGCCATGCCAGAATGAAAAGGTCACAGTTCCTTTATTGAAAAAGGCAAATTATATTGACATTGAACAATGTTCTAAGAACTGGAGAGCACTACGAATTGGAAAAATAACTGCAAGCAAGGTTCCATCCCTTCTTGGATTTAATGGTATTAAAGAATTAGTTTTTGTAAATTATCAAAGTCAGAAGATTGGTCACGCTTAGTAGTATAAGAAAGAATCGTTTAGCAGACTCGATTTTTGTGGAGGGAGTTAATTTTTTAGTCACTTTTTTGTGAGTAAATGTCGATTCACACGCTAAANAGGATAATCTTTCATGAGCCAAGTACTGAGAGGGTAAGCTGAATCTCCAATTATATGAAGAGGTACATCAAGTCCATTGTATTTCTCAGTCCATGGAGGGAATAGTGTGCCATCAGATGCTTTATAGTAAATAGGGGAGTTTTGAAGAACATAAGAATCATGATGCTTGCCTGGTTGACCTATGTTAATATCAGTAAAAACTGACCTATCATCACAAACAGCTTGTAAAATGACGGAATAAAAAAATTTCCTGTTAAAATAATCTGCTGGATGCTCACGAGGTGCAACAATTGGGATGTGACTGCCATMAACAACTCCAGYACATTGAGGATATCCCCATCTACTTGCAAAGCCATCAACAACTCTTCTTAGGCCATTGCCACTAGGAAACTTTATATACTTTGGCCCTAATACCATGTTTTACATTAAAATGTAAGTAATTACTGTGTGAAAAATTGTATTAGCAGTTGACCTTCCAACATTAAATAAGAGTGCTAGACTTCTAAATTCAATGTTTGTAGCAAGTTTCCATAAARTTATCATCACTCTTTTTTCAACTGGAATTGCACGCCTAAATCATGTTGTTGATTTTTCAATATGTGGTTTCAGTTGATTACATAAAGACATAAAGGTTTGCTTTGACATTCGTACATTTTCCACCCAGTCATTTGGAGTCCAGTTGTCAATTACATCAATCCAAATATCAGAAAGTCTTTTTTTAACCCATACTGNTTGACATTGAACAATGTTCTAAGAACTGGAGAGCACTACGAATTGGAAAAATAACTGCAAGCAAGGTTCCATCCCTTCTTGGATTTAATGGTATTAAAGAATTAGACAATGGATGGTTTGCAATAAAGAACAGAATTGATGAACATGTTTTAAATTCGCCATAAACTTTACAAATGTAAATCACTCCAACGTAACGATTTTCGTACGTACAGGCCAGGGACTACAAAAAAAAAAGTAAAACATAAAGTAAAACAAGTAAAACATATAGTGAACTGAAGAGGTTTTAATAAACGAAACTAGTTTTCACTATTCTTGGTAGTCCCTGGCCTGTACGTACGAAAATCGTTACGTTGGAGTGATTTACATTTGTAAAGTTTATGGCTGTTACAAGATTTTTTGAAGTCTCGGCGAAAGCTATTTGTCAAAGATGTTTTAAATCCAAAAAGGAGTAAATTATAATTATAAAATATAATTTTATAAGAGGAAAGCAACAGGAACAAAATGCAATACAACAATTTCAAAATGATAGTAAAGTGAATATCACCCAATGTGGGTACTTCAAACATCCTTCTGATGAAAGATTCGGAGCCAGTCCTGATGCAGTTAGTACTGGGGAGCATCAGTTTCTAGTTGAAATAAAAACTAGAGCCCTTCCCAATAGCACGCACCTTGACAAGCTAAAGAAAGAGGAAAAAGACAAGAAAATGGAAATTGCAGTAAACCCATTACAACAAGTAAGATTTTTTTACAATTATTAAAATAATTGTTTTATATTATGTTGTGTCATTCCATAAAATTCCCTAGGGGTGGGGGAAGGAATATTTTCTGAAATTACTGCCTATTTTTAACTAAATTTGATGATCACTGCAATAAAATTAAGATTATAGAAATATCACTGACAATCCTTTTTATTATATATTATTGTAGATCACAGGTGCTCACTTGTGCCAGTGCCATCTTCAAATGGAGTGCACCCAAACAGACCTAAATTATTTAATGTCTTTTGTTCCTGAGAGTAAAGCTGCTACTTAATTTCCTGTTCATAAAAATCACATTCTAGGTCAGGTCATGATGGAAATCTTAATTCACATCTATGAAAACAAACCATTCCATGATCCCTGGACATATTTTGAGCATCCAAAATTGGAAAAATTGGGAGAGCAACTAATGGGCCCAGTCCCAAATTTTGAACTCAACTCAGTAGTAAGGTCAATTAAAAGTACATCTTTGTAAGGTTACTATGGCATTAGAGTGCAACCAAACAACCTGTCAAATAGTAATAATTTTAGCTATGTGGTAGTGATTACATTCACAATACTTACATGCATTTACATGTAAATAGTTACGAACTAATTAGCAGTATTTCACAGCCTGGTTTATTAGTTGCTCTCTAGTAACATTCAGATTTTAGGGGGTATGAACACTATAATCTGAAAATAAAAAGGTGTAAGTTAGTAATTATATGAGTTAATGTCTTATAGTATTAATTCATGTACAATCAACAGGATTTCTACACCACTAGCCTTATTGTTTTATAAACTCTGAATATAATGCATGAAAGTAACAAATCCATTTATTTTTTAGACCAAATTAATATGAATAATTTAATAGGTGTTCATATAAAGAATGAAAGAGGTGGTGTCGCATCTGTTGTTCTATTATGAGGTTCCTTAGCTCTTCCTCCCTCCTTAGCACAAATAGGATTGAATAACAAATTGACAATATTAGCAAAGACCTTATACACATGACCTAAAATGTCACATCGGTTCTTTGGCCAGCAAGCATTCAGAATAGACCAGTCCCTCATGCGTCCAATGTAGTTTTCATTATAAATCCTTAAGGTGGCTACATCAAAGTTTTTTGAGATGTCACTTTCCTCATACTGCGCATCGAATTTCATGGGTGGGCGATTGTGGGTAAGCCTTTAGAGTGACACAGATCTTCAATTCCAAACCCCTTATCTGTAAGTACTGTAGCACCCTTGTCTTTTATCATGTCAAGTACACCACAATCTTCAATCAAGTCGTTATCTGTGATGGATCCAGGGTACGTATCCGTGCACATAACAAGACTACCGTAGGGCGTAATCCAAATTCCTGTTTTACCTGTGTCATGATTTTTATATGAACTGAAAGTTACACTGCTGACATCATAATTTTCAGGAGAAGCAATCCAGTTCTTGGTGCAATCACCTAACAATACAGTATCCGTGAATCCTGATGAAAAAAAAATCCTTGGGTAAGAGAGAGAGAACCTCTCCTGGGCAAGGGCTAAGGTCTACCTGGTCAAACAGTGTTGAAAGAAAAACAGCCCATGCAGCAAAGATTCTTGATTGAGTTGGCTGACTTGTGTTTGTCATGAATCCAATAATACCAAGGTCCAGTGTATGTCTACATACTGTCATAAAACACATCAACTCAGTTCTCTTTGTTAGCTTTCTCTGCTCATGACTTTTACAATCTGGATAAATCATTGCAGGTATATAAGGCTCAATACAGTCAAATAGACAGTCAAAATCTTCAACACTAAGTCCAGTCATGTAGTAAAACTGCTTGGGGTTTTTATTCAAGCATTTATATGAGAATGTTAACTGTTCAGTCTTGTGTACAAATCTCTTCAATTGAACTTGGTATGCTTCATTTTCGAATTCTAAGTTTATAACCTTATGATTTAGTTCATTTACTTCGTTGGCCTTTTTTTCGATCTTTGCCTTAAGATCATTAATTTGTTTTTGTAAATTATCAAAGTCAGAAGATTGGTCACGCTTAGTAGTATAAGAAAGAATCCTTCGTTTGGGCTTACTTTCTTGTGAATGTTGCTGTTTGATACTTTGTTTAGCAGACTCGATTTTTGTGGAGGGAGTTAATTTTTTAGTCACTTTTTTGTGAGTAAATGTCGATTCACACGCTAAATCCGGAAGATCATCAATACTTTCATGTTCCCCTTTACTCCAGTGAGCAGAGCAAATGAAATCTCTATCAAAATCAGTTCCTTTGCTTTTCAAAACTTTGCTATACGCACGCCGTTTGTC